GAATTAAGGTTCCTCTGGATATATGCCCCAATGATTTCTGGATCATAAGGAAAGTCTATTTTTAGTCTTTTGAGGAATCTCCATACTGTCTTCCATAACAGCTACACCAAATGACATTCCACCAACAGCATAGGACGGTTCCCTTTTCTCCGCAGCCTCTCCAACATTTATCCTTTGTGTACTCCTGAATAACAGTCCTTCTGACGAGTGTGAGATGATATCTCATTGTAGTTTTGATTTGCTTTTCTCTAATAATTAATGATGTTGAGCATTTTTTTCATGTGCCTATTGGCTATTTGTATATGTTCATTGGAGAATTGCTTGTTTAGGTCTTCTGCCCATTTTTGTATTGGGTTGTTTGTTTTTTTCTTACTAAGTTATGTGAGGTGTTTATATATTCTGGAGATTAGGCCCTTGTCAGTCTCATGTTTTGCAAATATTTTCTCCCATTCTGCAGGTTGTCTTTTTGTTTTGCTTATGGTTTCCTTTGCTGTGTGAAAGCTTATAAGTTTAATCAGGTCCCATTTGTTTATTTTTGCTTTGTTTTTCTATTGCCTGGGTAGACTGCCCAAGGAGAACATTGCTGAGATTTGTGTCAGAGAATGTTTTGCCTATGTTTTCTTCTAAGAGGTTCATAGTGTCTTGTCTTATGTTTCAGTCTTTAAGCTATTTTGAGTTTATATTTGTGTATGGCATGGGGGAGTGTTCTAACTTCATTGATGTGCATGCAGCTGTCCAGTTTTCCCAACACCATTTGCTGAAGAGACTGTCTTTACTCCACTGTATGTATTTGACTCATTTGTCAAAAATTAATTGACCAAACATTTGTGGATTTATTTCCTGGCTCTCTCTTCTGTTCCATTGATCCATATGTCTGGTTTTGTACCAATACCATGCTGTTTTGATGACTGTAGCTCTATAGTATTGTCTGAAGTCTGGGAGTTATTCCTACAGCTTCATTCTTTTTCTTCAGTATTGCTTTGGCAATTCTGGGTCTTTTGTGATTCCATTTAAATTTTAGGATAATTTATTCTAGTTCTGTGAAAAGTGTCCTGGGTAATTTAATATGAATGGCATTAAAACTGTAGATTGCTTTGTGTAGTATGGCCATCTTAACAATATTAATTCTTCCAATCTAAGAACATGGGATATCTTTCCATTTCTTTATGTCATATTTAGTTTCCTTGGTCAGTGTTTTGTACTTCTCCACATATGTCTTTCACTTCCTTGGTCAGATTTATTGCTAAATTTTTTTTTGAATGCAATTTTAAAAGGGATTGTTTCTTTACTTTCCTTTTCTGATATTTCATTGTTAGTGTAAAGAAACATCACTGATTTCTGTATGTCACTCTTGTATCCTGCTACTTTGCTGAATTCTTTCATCAGCTCTAGTAGTTTTGTGTGGAGCCTTTAGGGTTTTCTCTATATAGTATCATGTCATCTGCATATAATGACAATTTTACCCATCTCTTCCAATTTGAATCCCTTTCATTTCTTTTGTTGTTATTGTCTAATTGCTGTGGCCAGGACTTGAAATA